TTTGAGGTACTGTATTAACATGAAGACTCTAGGGTTAAGGTGCCTTCATAGGTCAGACCTCCAAGAGTCCAAGGGCCTGGCTGGGGGAGGTGGCCAAACCAGCTCAGATTAGCTTAGAAGAGATGGAGGGGGGCACCTGGCCAACAGGGGATGCTGGTGTGATTATAATGAATATTAAACCTGCTTTCCGTAATGGAAAAAAACAGTGCTCTCATGATATAGTTAGTAATGATAAAAGAAAAATTGGGGTGGTGCACACCTGTAATCTCTGCACTTGGGAGGCTGAGACAGGAGGATCGCCATGACTTTGAGGCCAGCCTGGCAAGGCCTTGCCTCAATAAAAAGAGGAATAATTGGGAGGGTCATGGTTTTTTTTGGGGGGGGGGGAATGGTTCTGGAATGAAAATTCCTTCAGGTTTTTTTTCATTTATTTTTTCTGGTATCAGGAATCGAACTCAGGACCTTGTGATTGCCAGGCAGGTACGGTGCTGCTAAGCTACCTTTCCTGCCCCTTATTTTATTTATTTTGGTACTGGGAATTGAACTCAGGGCCTCGAACTTGCCAGGCAGGCACTGCTCCGCTGAGCTACATCCCCAGCCTCTGGTTTTATTTTCATTTTCATTTTTTATTTTTTTGGTACCGGGGATCGAACTGTGGTCCTTGCGCTTGCAGGGCAGGCGGCGGCAACACTGAGCTAAACCCCTGGGCAACCCCCCCCTCTCTCCCCACCCCCCTTCCTTCCTTTCTTTCTTTCTTTCTGTCTTTCTTTCTTTCGTCTTGCTGTGTAGTTTACGATAGCCTTGAACTCATTATGTAGTCCAGGCTGGCCTCCAAAGTGCTGGGATTACAGGCCTGCGCCACCATGCCTATTTTACTTTATTTTGAGAAGGCTGCTAGGGATTGAGCTCAAGCGTTCACACCTACTAGGCGTGTGCTCCTCGGCCATTGAGCTGTAACTCCACCCCCTTGAGAATTATTTCCAGCCTATTCTAAAGAGCTAGCAAAATGTCAAGAAGGAGCGGTGTGCGCGGAGAACCGAATTCGCCATTCTTAGGAGGGCGGGCCTTCACTTCAGCGCTCTTGCCCAGTGCTGGGAGGTGCAGAGGAGGAACACGCTGTACTTGGAACTCACCTGGGGGCGCCGAGCCACTCAGAGATGGAGGCTTTCCGGTTCCTCAGGGATCCGGCAGAAGGGAGATAAGCGTCAGGGTGACAGGGCAATCTTGGGTATGGGGAGGAATGGCGTCCCCAGGTTATTCATGGCGCCGGGGAGGTGGACAAGCCTGCTCCACCCGCCGGGCCCTGGAAGGCTGTCGGCGGCTCCTGGGTTCCCCTACACCTCTCACTCTCGGGCAGCAGGAAAGGGCTGTGGACCCGAGGCTCCCTCCTGGTTCCGGGACACCCACTTCTCACACACAGTTTAAGTCACACTTCCCTCTCTGGCGGGTGTTTTGAAGCACAGTGTGAATATCTAGGCATGCTTTCGAAGATCCTCTGCTGAAAGGTACCACAGAAGTGCTAAGTATTACTATCGACGCTGTAAATATTTTAAGGACAACAGGAGAAGTGCTGCGGTTGGGCATTTCAGCTTCTGATACTCCTCAGAGGATGCCTGGAGTGCTCTGAGAGGAAGTGTACAGAGGGGGCAGAAGCCCATCACCGAGGCAGAAAGAGTAAGTTCAGCTAGGAGGTCACCCCACCTTGCTGTCCAGGAGGTGGAGGTGCCCCCACACCCAGGCCAAAGCCGCACAGGAAGGCCCCCTCCCTGCAGCGCCAGCTACACCTGTGTGACAGCTGACGGGCGACTGGGCAAGTCCAGGCCCGGCTTCATGCCAGAGGTGAGCTGCCCCGGGCACCATTGTCCCTGCAGCTCCAGTGACAGGCCAGCTTGGTCCAGGCCGAGCCAGTGAGATCTGCCTGTGGCCAACAGGTGCCCCGTGACCCTAGAACAGGCTCTGGCTGGGGGAGGGAGGGACAAGGGGACAGGCTAGTGCCCCTCCAGGCAGGATCTTTTCAGTACCCAGGGCCTGCATTTTTCCTAGGAAGATCGACCAGCTAGGCTGAATGTAGTCCAGGTTCTTAATTGTTCCCTAGCAAAGACAGAGTTAGAAGTTAATATAAAGGAGGGTCCAGGTGCTAGAGGCAACAGCTACATTTTGTCAATTAACTTCCAAAATGACCCTGTGAAGTACATCTGCTGCCCCAATTTTTTTTTTTTAATCTTAGTGGGGAGGGCAATCACAATTTTGGTTCCTTTTTTAAAAAAATTTAATTGTATTGGTACATTTTAGGTATACAATATAATGACATTCATCATTGGAAATTTGCACCTTTACATAATCTCTCTTGGTTCTTATTTTTGCTGCCCCAATTTTACAGACAAAGGTCAGAGAGATAAATGACTTGCTCAAGTTGCTATAGTTAAAAAGAGGTAAGAGCCAGGCATTGTGGTGCACACCTGGAGGCTGAGGCAGGAGGATCACCACAAGTTTGAGGCCAGCCTGGATTACATGGTGAGACCTTGTCTAAAAAAGGAAAGGAAAGGGAAGGAGAAGGGGAAGGAAAGGAAGAAAGAAAGAAAGAACCCAAAACAACAAGAAGGCAAGAATTTTATCTCTAAGCTCGTGTCTTGAGTAAAACGCTCTGTGTTCTCGCCCAAAATTCAAAAGCCTCACGGGGCTGGGGGTGGAGCTTGGAGGTAGAACATATGCTTAGCATGTGTGTGGGGGCAGAGGGGGGACCCGTCAGGGCTCTTGAATTCTGTTGTTCTCGTGGGTATTGTAGTCTGAACAGCTGCCTGGAGAACGTTACTGCCTAGAGGAGAGAAGGCTGTATTTTTCCGGCTGGGACTCTGCCTGGGGTCCATGCCTACAGACAGATCTCGTCTAAGAAGTGGTTCTGTTTCTGGTGCTGAGATGGACCCGGGCTTGCACAGGCTAAGCGTGGGCTCTACGCTGCGCTCGTGCCCAGGCCCGGAACTGTGCGTAGGCGCGACTTCCGGCCCTGCCCATCCTGCCCCCACGCTAGGGGCCTCCTGTGGGGTCTCCACGCTCTCCGCTCGCAGGTCTGTACTGCAGACCGCAAACCACACAGTTTGGAAAGCACTTTGTGAAAATCTCAGCAGCCCCGCTGCCTCTGGAGTGAAGTCAGGACGGCCCCTTCCAGCCCAGCCCTGGCGGCTTTGTCCCTCTGCCCGCCTTCCTTCCCCAGGGGCAGATGGCTGTCCTCCAAAGCCTGGGTCCAGTGTCCCTGCCTGTCCTTCTGTGTTCTGACCCAAAGGAGCATCACTCCACTCACCTGGCCTCCCGTGGCACCTAGTGCACAGGTGGCCGGTAATTCCTACTTAAGGACACAAACAGCATTCTTTGAAAGGCAGCAAATAGCAATTAGAATTTTCATTAGAGAACCTTTGCTTTTTTCCTCTTTTTTTGGTATGTGTGTATGTTTTTGAGACAAGGTCTCACTATGTAGTTTAAACTGGCTTTGAACTCATGGTGACTCTCCTGTCTCAGCCTCTCAAGTGCTGGGATTACAGGTGTGCACCACCACATCCAACTTTCAGATGTGCTTTAAGATATATTTCCCCAAAATACCACTGCTTTCCCTGCTTAAAAAGAGAAAGAAAAGAAAATTTCAACGTAATCACTACCCTCCCTGCCATCCAACCCGACAGTCCATTCCAGTGGCTATATGACCCCAACCTGAACCCCCTACCTTCTGTAGCGATCTCCAGAAACACGGCCCACTTCAGCAGGGCAGATCTGCTCTCTGCTATAAAATACACTTTGCTCATCTCCAATACTTTTGTTCATCCCTGCCCCTTCCTCATTTCTGCTCCCCAATCCCGCACCCCACGCCTGGCCCTGGGCTTCCCTTCACGAGCCCCACCAGGTTGCATCTGCCCCCAACCTCGCCCCTCGCCCCTCGTCCCCGCCCCAAGGCGGTGGGGTACTGAGGTTCAGCTGCCTGGGGCAGAACTGGGCACTTTGCGCTGTGCAATCAGGTTCCTGTGGAAACTCATCGTTCTTCGTTTCAGTGTTTGGGATCTTTCTCACTGCTGCTGGCTCGTCAGTGGGATTGCTTGCTTACAGCCAGAAGTTAGATTACAGATTTGATGTCTTTCATACAACTTTTGACATGATTATGTCATATTTTCTCAATTAAATTGTAGGCATCATAAAGTACAGAAACTATCTGTTGTATGTGTGTGTATCCTTCACCACATTTAACATAGCCTGTAGAGCCAGGGATTCATCTCAGTGGTTCCAGCGCCTGCCTCGAAAGCACAAGGTCCCAAGTTCAATCCTCGATACCAAAAAAACAAAACAAAACATAACATAGCCTGTATTCAGCAAGAATGCAATTCAGCAAATATTTAAAATATCAGTGGATATATGAAAATTCAGTAACTTAAAAATCTAGACAAAAGAAATAAAACTCAAAGGTAATTTAAACAGTGTTTCTAGAAAAAAGCATTCAGGATTTCTACTCTTACCCATTTCTATAAAATTATGTTTCTCCAGAGTTATCCAAATTAGCTATTAATATTGTGTTCTAGTATAATATACAACTTCTTATTTACAAAATTAGAAAGTATAATATCACAAAAATAAGACAGAGAAGTCTAAAGAGAAACTTTCTGGGCTGGGGATTTATCTCAGTGGCACCTCGCTTGGCTCGTAAGTACAAGATCCTGAGTTCAATCCCCGGTACCAAAATAAAAAATAAAGAGAAACTTTCCATTTGCAAAGACTAGAAACAAGTAACATCCTTATCTTTAAAGTGCCTAATAAGTTACTCTTTGCAAAATAAAATCTTGCTTGAGTTTAGCTCTAAGGCATCTGTCTCTGAAATATGTTTTTCTCTGTTCAGCATGATCAAAACTGGGAAGTAACTCATTTAATTGAATGACTTTTTGCTTCCGGTTGTTCCCTTTTGACCAACTTGCTATAACCCCTTCCTGAAAGATGCTACAGAGGCCAAAACAAACCATACTAGCTTCTAATAATAAAAAAAGTAGAATTCAATTTTATTAGTAGGAATCCTTTTGAGACCAGGTAGTACTGCATTTGGGACCCCAGTACATGATTCTCCTATGGGAAAGCGTTTCAGCCCCTCGTGATCATTTATCTGGTGAAACTGCTACCTAGGGGAGCCGGGTGGAAGCAGGAGGTACTTTCTCGCTTTTTCTGCACAACCGGAGTTTCTGTGGTGGGTTTATTCCGATTCCTTCCTGTCATGTTCTTCCTCCTCGAATTCGACCAAACGGGAGTGTCTGTCGGCCTGCGACCCCTCCGTGTAGAACACTGTTTTTATCGTGCCGTCTCGGGGGGCCTTTATGGTGTGCTGCAGAGAGAGACACAATCTGGGGTCGCAACGCCAGTGAGGATGGTACCCACCACAGCAGGACGGCCGCACCGTGAGGAGTCGGCCAATTGTCTTGACGTCTTCTAGTCCCTCTGCTTCCTGACTTTTTCTTTTTCAGACACCTCAGCACACGGTGACATGTTTAGGGTCAGTTACTACTTGGACACTCCACGGACCCATTCAAGGACTAACCAGAGCTCTCAGCTCCAGCTCGGCGAGCGAACCTCACCTGGGAAGCTTTTACAGCGCCCCCTAGAGCCTGCCAAGCATGGCCAAAGCCTGCGCTGATCCCTTCCATGGAAAAAAAAAGCTGCCCCTGGGCCCTACTCCTGTCGACCCCAGCTCAGGAGCCTCTCCAGGGTTGAGAACCACTCATCTACTATAATTTCCAACCATCCAAAGACCTAAGCAGCTATTTTTTTTTTTTTGACAGTCTCGCCATGTAGCCCAGGCTGGCCTTGAACGCAGTGATCCTCCTGCCTCAGCCTCCCAAGTGCTGGGATCACAGGCGTGCGCCACCACACTTGGTTTAAGCAGCCAATTTAATTTGATCAAGGTTCTCACTCTGATACTAATGCTTGGCATCCTAAGTTCACCTGTAGAAAACAGCAATAGTTACATTCAGCTGACTACTGTTTCCAGGCTAAGGATAATTTCATAATCAGAAAGTGACAGGTGCAATTTCACAAAATTGTAATGAAAATATATTTACAGAAAGGATACTTTAGGGGTTTTTTGTTTTTGTTTTTTTGAGACAAGGTCTCACAACATAGTCTAGGCTGGCCTCGAACTCATGAGGATCCTCCTGCCTCAGCCTCCCAGCTTGGTTCTGCAATTGATGCCAAGCCAATCGATGGCTCTTCACATTTAAAATGGTATTAACCTCCACCGTAAGCTAAAGAACAATCTGATGGGATATTTCTCAAGGTTTACTGCTCAACTGAACTCACGATTCCACGCACCTCCATCTTCATGGCGATCATAACCATCAGAGAATCTCCAGCTTTTACTTTGTCTCCAGCTTTCACAAGCACCTGGGGGTTCAGAGGTCGGGTTAATGTGCAAGAACGCGTTGGAACCCCGAAGTCTGCAGGGCCGGAACGCAAACGCGCCCGCGGAAGCCCCGCCTACGTGGCTGTGCCGTCGTCTGCCAGGGACAAAGGTAGTGCCGCAAACCCCAGGTCAATCTGACACTGCGGACGACACCGGGAGACACGGGGGGGGGGGGGGGGGTCAGCACGGCTCAGCCCGGCCCCTCCCTCCCAAGCCACATCGTTTGCTCGAATCAGATGAAGCCACTGTTGAGGTCCCTGGCATTCTTCCGGTTGTCTTCATGAACGTGAAACCCACACTTGGCCAACAGGGAAGGACTCACATGCCCTCCGGGCAGGGCAGAGGGACGCTTGGTGACTGGTTCTCTAGTTGAGGGTGTCTAAGATAGCGCTTCTTCACGGGCCTAGGGGGTTAAGCGTGTAGACAACCTTTGTGTGAAAGGATTAAATTTATCAGCAACCCTAGAAAAATATGTCCATATTTATTCTTATATGTGTAAATGAACTTATACTTCCCCTATGGTCTTCCTTTTTTTTTCCTTGCGGTACTGGGATGTTCTACCAGGGGTGGCCAGGGGTGTTCTACCATTGAACTACATCCCTAGCACCTGAATTTGTTTGTTTGTTTCTTTGTTTGAGTCAGGGTCCTGCTAAGTTGCCAGTGTGGGACTTGTGATCCTCCTGCCTCAGCCTTCCTCAGTGCTGGGATTATGGCATACACCATGGTACCCGACTAACTTTTTGAGTTTTTGGAAACACTACATAGTAGAGTCAGGTTCTAAAGTCATTGTGAGGTAGGTGTGGTAAGGCATAGCTGTAGTCCTAGCATGTGGGAGGCTGAGGCAGGAGGATCCCTGTGAGTTCAAGGCCAGCCTGGACTACATAGTGAGACTCTGTCTCAAAAATAAACAAATAAATAATCAAGCCATTGTATAGAGTCCAAATTGTGAGAAGCAGGACACATTCTTGAAAGCCCCACAAATGACACAAACTTGAGCAATGCTTTTTGTTTTGTTTTGTTGTTTGAGACAGGTTGCTCATAAATTTAAAAAATTCCTTTTGTTTATAAACCACTCAATCTATGGAATTCTGTTATAGAAGCCCAAATGGACTAAGAAAGTATAGGTCTCGATTCTGAATATATCTTGCATTCAACATTAAACCACATTGCCCTTACTAATACCTGCCTTTCAAATTTTAATACAGGTACAATTATGTACATTAGAAAACTGTCCTTTTTTTGAGACAGACTCTTTCACTATTAGTTCAGGCTGGTCTTCAACTCACTGTGAGCCCAGGCTGGCCTCAAACTCATAGCGATCCTCCTGCCTCAGCCTCCCAAGTGCTGGGATTACAAGTGTGCACCACCACATGATAAATGTTATCATTTCAGGACAAAATTTAAATTTAACATTGTGCCAGGCGTGGTGGTGCATACCTGTAATCTCAGCACTCAGGAGGCTGAGGCAAGAGGACTGCTGTAAATTTGAGACCAGGCTGGCCTACAAAGTAAGACTCTGTCTCAATAAACAAACAAACAAACAAAAACAAAACCAGGCAATTTGGACTATTTATACCTTTATGTGTGGGGGCCATGGGAATCGAACCCAGGCCCTCATACATGCTAAGCACACACTCTACTGCTGAGTAACACCCCTCAGCACCACATTATTTGTACTTTGACGTACATTGCCATCTTCAAAAGTAGCAGATGGTGGGAGGGGGTAGGGAAGGGAGGAAGAGGGGATGAAAAAAGAATTAAAATGTGTTACGTATCTGAACCAACTTTCCATGAGGGATGTAATCATGTACTGAAAACATGGACTAATAAAAATTTTTTAAAGACCCCAAAATTGGAGAAATCCCAGAAACCCTGGGCTAGAGGTGTAGCTTAGCAGTAGAGCACATGCTTACCATGCACACGGTCCTGGGTTCAACCCCAGCAACAAAACCAAACAAACAACAGCCTTTATCATAAGGTAGGTAAATAGATATTTTCACTGAAGACTGAAATATAGAACTTGGATTCATAATAAATCCCTTTGTTTTCTTGAAATGGATGCTTTCCAGTGAGCAGGAGTTACAGAGGACAGAGGATATACGTCCATGACAAGTTCAATAAAGTCATTTACCAGCCTTACTGGGCATTGTTCCACATATGTCACCTGATTACCTTTTCGATGGTTCCCATCATAGGAGCTATGGTACCTCCCTGAATGCCTTCTGAGCTCACTGAAGACAAGTATTTGGGCACTGGAATGGCAATCTCAATACTTTCTTCCTAAAAAAGAGAACAAATTGAAAATGGAATCAAGACCCCCATCACTGAATTTTTATGAATACACTTGAGATCATTGTACTTTTCAAGCTATTTGTTAAGTATAGTCATCATCAATACCAGGGTTCTAACCTAGTATTTATTTGGATCAGGTCTCACTGTGTAGTCCAGGCTGGCCTTGAACTCATGATCCTCCTGCCTCAGCCTTCTGAATACTGGGATTACAGGCAGGTACCACTGTGCCTGGCTCTCTAATCTCTAGCTTTCTGACCTTGAGCAGGTTACTAGACCCCTTTCCATCTTGGTTTTCTATTATAAGAAAGCAACATCCTAGGTGTGGTGGGCATATCTATAATTCCAGCACCCAGGAGGACTGGCCAGGAGTTCAAAACCAGGCTGGGCTACACAGTGAGTTCAAGGACAGCCTGAACTACAGAGAGACCCTGTCTCAAAAATCAAAACAAAACAAAAACAAAAACAACAAAAAAGGGTGTCACAGTGTACATGCCTCATAGGAGATAAAAGAATTAAAGCATAAAGAGAGCCGGGGATTTAGCTCAGTGGCACTGCGCAAAAAAGAATTAAAGAACTAACTAAGCATAGAACTAACTGCAGGTGACAGACAGCCACGGTCTAGAAGCGATTTTTAGAGTCATCCACTATCAAGTGCTTAGCTGATGCGGGCACCAATGTGACACATATGATGTCATTGTCACAACAACTCTGTGAGGAAGGTCGTTACTATTTCCCTGCCCAAGGTCACACAGCTGTAAGAGGCAGGACCAGGACTGGAACCAAAGTCGCCTCAGGGTCCAGAACCCCTGGCTTCCGGCTGCTGTGCGGACTCTGGGCGTGGGTCAGGGTCGGCGCCCACAAGCGAGGGGACACGGAAGGGCCCGGGCACCGGTCACGTGGGGGTCCCGTCCCGAGGGTCTGCCACTCTCCGGCAGGAACCGCCCGGGTCAGGCCTTTCCCTCTCGCACCAGAGGCGACGCTACAGCGCCGTTACCATGGAGAACAGGTGCACGGTGTTCTCCAGGGTGACCAGCTTAGCCCTGCGGAGGACTCCATTCACAGAGCTTCTTAGGTAAGTGCAGTCTCCCTCACTGTGAAGAGCACCGAGGACTTGGAAGGTTTCATCTTGGATCTGAAAAAACCAAAGAATAAGATCTTCAAATAAAAGTGAACAATCTTACAGATTTTGGAGGGGGGGGGTGTACCGGGAATCGAACTCAAAACCTTGCACTTGCCAGGCAGGCACGGTGGCACTGAGCTACACTCCCGGCCCAATCTTACAGATTTAATAAAACCAGAATCAATCTTCACTATTAGCACCTTCAAAAGGTAACACATAAAATACATTTCTTTTTGGAACCAGGGATCGAACTCAGGACCTTGTGCTTGTGAAGCAGGCACAGTGCCACTGAGCTAAATCCCCGGCTAAAACACATTTTTCAAAAAGTCATGTAGGAATCCACCCCCCAATACTTTTGGGTTTTTGTTGTTGTTTTTTGGTTTTTGTACCGGGGATGGAACTCGGGTCCTTGCGCTTGCGCAGCAGGCAGCGAAACCACTGAGCTAAATCTCCAGCCCCTTGAGGTTTTTTTTTTGGTACCAGGGATGGAACTCCGGACCTTGCACTTGTGAGGCAGTTGGCATAACCACTGAGCCCCGGACCCACCCCTCAATACTTTGGAAAGAATAAGAAATCAGATAATTAAAAGAAAAACTAGTTATATAACCTGTCCACTGCGGCATAATGGTTTGAGGACAGAGAAGAAGCTGTGCCTGGTAGCACACACTTATGACCCAGCACTTAGGAGGCAGAGGCAGAGGCAGGAGGGTCTCTAGGAGCCCAAGGCCAGCCTGGACTACATACAGAGACCCTGTCTCAAAAGAACAAAACAACACACACACACACACACACACACACACACCAAAAAACAAATACAAAAACCCTGGAAAGAATAGAAATAAAAACGTGTAATAAAAATACAAATCAAGGGCCAGGGATTCAGCTCAGTGGTTTTGCAGCCTGCTGCACAAGCGCAAGAGTTTGATCCCCGGTACCAAAAAAAAAAAAATCAAAATAAGCAAAATTATTAACATTTATTTGGGTATCTTACAGGTTAGCACTCATTTCTGAGTACCTGAGATTAAGTGAAATTTAGTTTTTCTTTACCAGTGTCAGTAAGGAAAAAAGGCAGAACCACGTTCACGAGCTTCAGTTATGATTTAAGAAGACATTAAATGGAGACTGACCAGGATTTCCTCACACCCAGAGACTATGAACCAAAACCAGATTTCACACTTACTGTTTCAAGAAAGTTGACAAAAGGAGATAAAATCTGCTTTAAATACCGGGCGTGGTGGCGCACACCTGTAATCCCAGCACTCAGGAAGCTGAGACAGGAGGACTGCAAGTTCAGGCCTTGCCTGGGCATTTTAGGGAAACTGTCTCAGAAAAAAAGGGGCAGGGGTACAGGGGGAAGCCCTTAGGTTCAATTTCGAGTAACAAAAACAAAACAAGAAAAAAAAAGATTATTTTCTGACATATATACTCAAGAGAAAATTTCCCTTACACACAAAAAATCTCTGTTTTCCATTTCAGTGCCCACAGTGTTAGTGCCAAAGTCCTGTGACTGTTCTTTTAAAATATATCACGGAGGCTATGGTGAGGTAGGTCACATTGCAGTATCTATACACCGGTTCTCATCCAACCTAGGGTTAATATGACATTTTACACTCCTTTGTAACCTACTAAAACAGCCGTTGGAATGTTTGTAAAATTCTCAGGATATAAAGATTAGATTGCAAACAGCTTTGTTTAAGAGTCACAGAAGCACATTCCAAACTTGTGGATTTAGTTCCATGAACAGGTTAAGACAAATTTGTCGATTTACTTTAGCAATTACCAAGAGACAAGAAAGGATCCCCAAACCAGGGGCACCAAGATGAATTACAACTCTCACATACTAAAGTTGGCAAATTTCCCATGGTTTTCCTGAACCTCAGAGAGAGAACTAATGTATTTCAAAATGTGCTGAGAAGTCTAATACATATCATCGATAAATCTGTTTTTCAGTATTTTAAATCTCTTAGCTCACATTAAAAATGACATGTACCCAAAAGAATTTTTAAAAGAGCCTCAAAGAGACAACTGTACACATATGTTCCTAGCAACATTATGCACAATAGCTGAAAGCTGGAAATAAGACTGACAGATGGATAAAGAAAATGTGGTATATACATGCAATGAAATAGCATTCACTTTTTAAAAACTCTGATGCATGCTACAATATGGAAAAACCTTGAAGATATTATACTAAGTCATAGATGGACAAATATTGTTATTCCACTTATATGAGATACTTAGAGAAGTCAAATTCATAGAAACAGTAAAATGGTTATTCTCAGCAGCCACGGGAAAAAGAATTGAATTAACATTGTTTAATTGGTATAGAAGCTAGGTGCTGGTGGTGCACACCTGTAATCACAACATTTGGTAGGCTGAGGCAGGAGGATCGCTGAGTTTGAGGCCAGCCTGGGCTACACAGTGAGTTCAAGGCCAGCCTGAACTACATAGCAAGACCCTATCTCAAAAAAAAAAGGTATAGAATTTCAGAATTTGCAAGATTAAAAAAGTTCTGAAGTTGAATGTTGATGGTTGTACAACCATATGAATATATTTAATGCCACTAAGATGTCCACTTAAAAATTACTAAAAGAGTAAGTTTTGTTATGTGTATTTCAACATAATTAAAAAAATAAAATTTTCTCCGTTCAGTTTCCTAAATGGAAAATATCAATAGATGTAACTCATATAAACAAAAGCTCTTTGGGGCTGGGGGGCATCTCAGTAATTTTTAAGAGTGTTTAGGGCTGGGTACAGGGGCACAGGTCTGTAATACTAGTGACCTGGAAGGCTGAGGCAGGAGGATCACAAGTTTGAGCCTGGCCTGGAGCGGTGGGAGGGAGGAAGGAAAGAGAGAGAAGAGGGTTATTGAGTCCAACAATGTGAGAATCCCTGCTTGTGATGTAAACATACACACATACTTCAGGGACTTGTTAGATGCCTGATCCAAAGCTATTCCTCTTTTGCCAAGGTTTTCTTCTTCAGGGAATCATAGTCAAACTAAGTAAACAATGAGTTAGAAACCATGTAGGGTGACTCTCACAAACTGGTGTGTAACAAAGGCCCAGCCGTTCTCTCTACAGTTACAGCAATTAAAGGCTTAAGAGAAATGGGAGAGTGAAAAAACCCCACTCAGTAGGAGAAAGATCAGATCCAGCTCTGACCCACAGAACATCCTTACTGCAGCTTACCTTCATGCTGTAGGACCCATCCTGGTTATAAGTTACAGCTACGACCACGTCTTCACAGAAAGGAGGGAAATGCAGAACAATTAGAAGATATTCATATATTCAGTAACTGAGATGCCCAAAGTCTCACTTTCAACCTTAAGATAATGAGCTGTTCATGGAAATGTTAACAACATCAACATCTTTTAACTCCCTGGAAATAAAGTGGGTTTTTTTTTTTCTTTTTCTTAGAAAAACTGTCGGGGCCAGGGATTTTGCTCAGTGACATCACGACTGCCTCACAAGCACAAGGTCCTGAGTTCAATTCCTGGTACCAAAAAAAAAGAAAAAGAAAAACTCTGTCTGGCAAGTTTCAGTAAAGATGAATATCAAAATTTTCCTTTTTAAGGTTGTAGACTATTTTAGAGCTTTTCCCCTAAACAAAAAGACTGCAGTGTGATAGCAGAAAATACAATGAATTGACAAAGAGATGCTCTGGTTTAAGACCCAAATCTGCCATCTGATTGCTTCTGTGGTCCTGACCAAGTCACCAGATCGCTGAGCCTTTATTTTTTGAACCATTAAATGGGTATGAGAATGTAATGATGATTAAATAAATTCCAGAGTGCTTCATAAACAGTAACAGGCCACATAAGAAATGATTCTTGTTACTATATGCATAAGGAATTGGCTGAACACTATCCTAGGATACAGAAATCAAAAGTTTTGTGGAGCTGGGCATGGTGGAGCACGCCTGTAATCCCAGCATTTGGGAGGCTGAGGCAGGAGGATCATCATGAATTTGAGGTCAGCTTGGGCTACATAGTGAGTTCAAGGCCATCCTGCCTGAACTACATAGTGAGGCCCTGTCTCAAAAAAAAAAAAGTAGGAAGGAAAAAGAAAAACAAAAGTATATTAACTCCAGGGCCTGCATTATTAATAATTATTATTATCTATCTTCCCACACATATATTTCCAAATGGTAAACTCACTGATAGAATACACAGGGGCAAAGATCTTTCTTCTCCTCTCTTCTCCACATCGCTCAGCATTTTTTTCTCTTCAAACACTTTCTGCAGACTGCATGGAAATTCTCCACCCTACATCTTGTCAACTTGCTTTAACTTTAAAGAAAATGCCTCCAATTACACCAGATTCATTTTTCTTTCAATTTATAAAAATATGAAAAGTATTTAACGGATACAAATGCCAATAGAGTCATTGCCTGGAAAAAGTCTTAGCTGTACGTGGTGGCACAGAGCTGTATGTAATTGCAGCACTCTGGGAGGCTGAGGCAGGAGAATCACAAGTTCTTGCCCAGCCTGGGCACATGAGCAAGACTTTGTCTCAAAATAATAAAATCCTGAGGCTGTAGCTTGGTGTGAAGGCCCTGGGTTCAATCCCCCGTAGCTGAAAACAAAACCAAAAAACCTACAGATTCTTTTATAGTACTGTGATGCAACTGAACTTGTTTTTCCCTTCCCTACAGCTCTCTTCTCACCTACCAGGGAACCTAAATACTCTCTTACTTAAGCACTGAATAAGGTTTGCCAATTTAGCATGCAGCAGGGGTAGGTATGCACGTATTCCCCACAGTGTGGTTTCAAGTCCTTGCTCCACCAATTTTTTTTTTTTTGGGGGGTACTGGGGATCGAACTCGGGACCTTGCACTTGCGATGCAGGCAGTGGAACCACTGAGCTAAATTCTGGGCCCTCTACCAATTATTTTTGGTGTGACTTTTGGAAAATGACCAAAAGCTTTGGCCTTGATTTAGAGAGATTAGTAATTTATGAAACTAACAAGCGTACACTGATCTCATTGGCCTCTTCTGAAAACTCAAATGAAATGATCTTTGGACAGTGTTCAACATAGTGTCTGACATAAAGCAAATACTCAAAAATTTTGATAATAAAAATCAGTATTATTCTTTTTTAAGGGGGTGTTAAGACAGGGTCTCGCTGTGTATTCCAGGCTGGTCTTGAACTCACTGTGTAGTCCAGGCTGGCCTCAAACTGACAGTGATCCTCCTGCCTCACCCTCATGAGTGCTAGGGTGACAGGTGTGTCCCATCATACCGGGCAATATTTTTCTTACTGAGGATGGGACAAGGTTCTATAAAACATGGCCAGTAATAAAGTCAGAAAAATGTTCAAGTCTTGACTACAGTACTGTATTTAAAATACTTAGTCCTCACTGAGGTCACGAAAAGTTGGTTCTATTTCGCACTCAGGTGCCTCTGTCTCCCTGGGCTTCCTGTCTGGCGTATGCTTTATTCAGCCATGGTCGCTCCTGCTGACCATGGGACTCACCATAGCATTCTAAAAGCTCTTCCATTCAGACCTAGGTTACTTTTGTAGAACACTGCCAAAAGTGTGTAGTGAACAGTAATTACGTCAGCTTTTTGATTATGTATTTATTTATCTTTAAGCCTTTTTTATTCCCCAAACACAACTCAGTACTGTGCCTGGAGATCTACGCCAAAGAACACAGTTGGCTTTTCTGAATTACATCACAAGTTCATTCTTCTGTTTCATTTAGGTGCCTGAGGCCAACGAAACCTTCCTGTTTTGGATACCAGTATTTAGCAGAGGGGAGTGTAGGGTAAGACAGATTCTGGAGGCTGCTTCTGAGCATGAAGAGAGTGAGGGCATCAGCATGAGACAGCGGGCTGGTCGTTGTGGAATGCCGTCTTGTAAGGCATGTGTGCACACTTTCTTGAAGGAGGCCTGGAGACACAACCAGTGCACTCAAGGGAATGGCCATCTAGGCTCAGGAGGACAAAACAACTACAGAGCTGGAGTCCAATCAAAAAGTATTTTTTCCGTCTGCCTCACAAGCGCAAGGACCCAAGTTCAATCCCCGGTGCCCCCCCCAAAAAATTTTCTCTTTTTTGAGACAGGGTCTCACTATGTAGTTCAGGCTGGTCTCAACTTGTGGCAATCCTCCTGCCTCAGCCTCCTGAGTGCTGGGTTTACAGGCGTGTGCCACCACAGCCCGCTCCAATTTTCTGTAAATGAAGAATTTGTTACTGAGTAGGTGTCTGAAGAGCTACACTGAAGATCCTCCTCTGTTCAGAGGAGAGGGTATGATGATTTGCTGGCAAGAGGGTTTTTCTATACCTCAGTGGGCACATTTTTATAACGGCACCAACACAGTCCAAGGCCACATCGAACCTCTGACTGTGTCCGCCTGGGTCCTCACACCCTTCCCTGCTTCCTTCCCTGCAGCAGAAGGGACACAGTCACAGCGTCACAGGGCATGGGTCCCTCTGGAACACTGCCCCAGTCGTGGATTTGTAGACTACCTGCTGCTCAGGGTTGGCCTCCCTGACCTCAGTTACAGTCACTCAGCGCCTCCCTGGAGGCTTCTCAGTGAATGTCCCATTGGAAAAGTGGTAGCAAGAGCATCTGAGTTGATGTCAGGAATGTTCTGCCACCTTACTGGCCTCGAGTAGGTGACCTCACCTTCTGCGCCTCAGTTTCGTCATCCACAGGTGGACATAACAGTCACTCCCCTCATTAAGTTGTTGTGAAGATAAAAACTTACACGTGACAAGGTGTATGATAAATTATAGCTCTTTAGTGACCCACTTCCACCGGAAATACTGCCCGAGCAATGGGTAATTCTCCCTCCCTGACATAGCTTTGGATATTATTTTACTTATTTAAAAGTAATACACTCTAGCCAGGTGTGGTGTCGCATACCTGTAATCCCAGCACTCAGGAGGCTGAGGCAGGAAGACTGCTGTGAGTTTGAGGCCAGCCTGGGCTATATAAAAAGTTCAAGGCCAGCTTGAATTTCATAGCGAAACTCTGTCTCAAAACAACACCAACAACAAAAAAGTATAAAGAATTGGGGAACAAGGGTCGGGGATTTAGCTCAGTGGTTCTGTTGCCTGCCTTGAAAGCGCAAGGTCCTGAGTTTGATCCCTGGTACCAAAAAAAAAAAAATTGGGGAAAAAAAAGATTGCCTCAAATCCTACCTCCCTATAATAAATAATCTTGCTAACATTTTGGCATTCTTTCTTTCTTCTCTCTCTTTTTTTTTTGCTATGTATATTTTATGACATATTTTGAGAATGTTTATAAAACATTGAAAAAGTGTAAAGAAAAATAAGTATCATTAATTGACTACCCAGAACCAATCAATTCTAATTTTGCCATATTCCTTTCCATTGTGTAGGCTAAGGCATTTAAAAAACTGTAAGTGACTGGTCAGGACCAAGCTGAATTCTCTTTCAGTTCCATGTGGTATATTTCTATGACTCACATTTTTCTTTTAATGAAATATTACTTACTATTTTTACCATCTCTAAGAGTCAAGTTTCTGGTGTAACAGATATTCAGTCTTCTTCCACTGCTGAATGAAAACGGAGAGAATGGATCTAGAAAAAATTTAAAATTCAACAACAAATTTACAAATATACAGCTTTCTAAATTTATACCTTACAAAAGAAAATATAAAACACAGCTCCTATGCTTGCAGCTCTAATGGTTTTTGGGTTTTGTTTTACATTTAAATTAGGTATTTTCATTTATATCTCAGAAAATTTCATAGGAAAACTCCCGGCTTCTCTGGGAAAATCAGAACATTTTGCAACCTAATCTCTCATCCTCTGTGGGTGAGCAACTGCTGAGCGCTCATCCGCTTTTGATAAAGCAAATGCATTCCGGGTCACCAAAACCTCTACTACTCACTAGATTTCTTCCACTTGGCTTTGTTTTCTCTTCCCTGTCCCTGGTCTAGTCCCTGGCTGCTGGACAAAGTTGAGGGGCCACAGCAGTACTAAACTGAAGCCATTTATTTCAAGCTCATATCTGTGCTAGTTATAAATTTAAAAAGAAAAGTAAGAGCACAAGGACACTGCATTGTAAAAATGTTAAATTCAGCCTCAGGAAAACCACATGGAGGATGTTTGGATGGATTTCTATTTAATGCAAAAGGAAAAAATGAGAATTGAACACAAATACAAAGATGCAGTTGTACATTTTAAGCTTTCAATATCATTATCTTGACTGTATCTAGAAATTAAAGATCCTATAAGAGAAGAAATTAACGATCCCATAAGAGAAGAAAATACAACATAATAACTCTAATAGAAGAGATAGAAGGATTAGATTTTTTTTTTGGTACCAGGAATCGAACTCAGGACCTTATGCTTGTGAGGCAGGCGGCGGCACCACTGAGCTAAATCCCTGGCCCAGGATTAGATTTTTCTTTTTAATTCTGGTTGCTCTAAAGGTCAGAGTTGGCCTAAGTAAATATTCTGGAGCCAGTCTGAAAGAGGTCAGCTTTGGTCCTATCTGGACGGAAGAACTCTCTACAGAGAGTGCACTGCAGCTGCAGGAAGCTACCCCAGGAGGCAGTGCAGTTCCGGTTTTTTGGGGTGTTAGGAAGAGGCTGGGGGTGCTGAAGCAGGGTAGCTGTGCGCAGTCAGGATGAATCCATGCCATGCTCCTTCCTGTGCCCAGAAGTACCCAAGTCTCCAGGTAGACAGAAAAATAACCACAGGAAGGAAAAAGAGAGGAAGTCACCTGACAGAATGTTGTGTCTTTAGCCTCTAGGACCAAGGAAGTTGCTGCAGGCACAGAGGATTCAACAAAGCAGGCCACTCAGAGCAGACAAGGAAATCACTAGGCATCAGCAAGAGACACAAGAAGAATGAATTTCTACAATGCCAGGGGATCATGAGCTCTGCTCACTGGATCCATCTGTGGACATATCCATGACCCATGAGGGCTCTCCCTCTCCCTAGGAAGCACACCTGCAGAGGACAGAGGGAGGATTCACAAAGCAGGCTGTACCTTGTGTCTGAAGGCTGAAAGCATCGGTCATAGCTTTTTCCTGGAGAATGAGGCTCAGAGCAGCCTGGCAGAGATACTCCTTGGCTGCTGCCCTCCTGCGGGGCAGCAGGTCCTCATGGTGCTGAGGGATGAAATCGGTGTGCACAGCCCCAGCTTCAAAGGCTGGGTGGGCAGACAGGTGGAGCAGGAAGTCAATGTTGGTGCACAGACCAACAATCTAGGAAGAGAATAAAACTCCAGTTCCTACTTTGTGGGGGAAAACAACATATTCAGAAAAGCATCTGCTCTTCTAAGTATTTAGGAAAAATGAAAAATCTACTAAGGTACCATGGGGGGGCTCACTATATCCACCACTGTCTGGATTAATACTTATAACTACAGTTTAACAAGATGAAAGGATATAAGGAAGTGTAGTGGGTAATAAGGAGACATTTGACTTAGAAAAGTGGTAAATACTAATTTGCAAGATATATATAGATATCTTACAATTTTTTATATATATATATATATATATATATATAATTTTTTTTTGAGACAAGGTCTTGCTATGTGTTCAGGGTGGCCTTGAACTCACTGTGGAGCCAGGCTGGCCACAAACTCTCTTGGCAATCCCTCTGCCTAAGCCTCCCAAGTGCTTGTGGGATTACGGGCGTGCACCACCACTCCCAGCCCTTCATTCATTTAATAGCTATTCACTGAGTACTTTTTAGGTGCCAGGCTCTGATCCAGGCCCTGGAGATAGTGAGGAACAAGCAGATGAAGTCCTGGCCCTCACAAGGTTTACGTTCCATGGAGACAGGTAAGGAACACCATCTAGAAGCAAATATCTAATATGACATCATGTGCCATGAAGGAAACTCAGGCTGGCTGTTATGGTTGGGTCTAGATGTCCCTGCAAAGCCTCATGTGGTCATAGGCTGGATCTAGAGTGTGTGGTGCTGGAATTAATCCATGATGCAATACTAGGCTCAAGGGCACCAGGAGTAAGGATGCGAGTGCTACCCGCCCTAAGTAGTCTGAATAAGATAAAAGGGGAAGGGAAATGCTATTAAGGCTCCCTTGTTACCTTTGCTACCTTGTGTGTGCCATGTTGTTTCTCCTCTGTGATGCCTATTTGCAGACATTCTTATCTTAGTGCCAGCCGACTATGGACTGAAACCTCTAGAACTGTAAGCCAAATAAACCTCTTCCCCTCCAACTTTGGGTGTCAGGTATTTTGTCTCAGCAACGAGAGAAAACTAACACACTGGCTAAGGGGTCAAAGAAGAACAAAGGGTACTATTTTAAACGAAGCAGCCAGGAAAGGAGTCTGAGAAATGAGCAGGGCTGCGGACAGTCAGGAGGGAGCCCTGTGATCATACAAGGGAAGAGCATTCTGGAAGAGAGGACAGCCCCACGATTCCATGCCGGGGGCACTTGAGGAATGGAAGGAGGCCGGTGTGGTTGGAGCCACAGAAAGCAAACGAGTAACATATACCAATTTCAGTATCATGTGTTAATAAATCCTCCATGAAGCTAAATCAATATGGTATGGGACATTCTGCACCAAGAAAATTAATGCGTTGCAGAAAAATAACTGTCAAATGGATAAAACTGAACATAATTATCTTCCTTTGGAGAAAAATTACCAGAGTGTAGGCAACACTCATGGAGCTGGTCTTATTTATAGAATGACTAGATTTCATGAAAAGATAATGCTGACACTGACAGTTTTACTTCTGCGATCTTTCTTTCATAACTGAAACCTGGAAGTCCTCAAAGCCTATTCTAACCCATGGAAATTCCCCCATGTGAAATTATTCTGTTTGTGACATACATTCAATGGGCGGACAGAAGCTGGTAAGACCAAGGCCCTGACAAGGTGAAAGGATGACCTTTGGTGCTGGCCAAAGACTTCAGGGTCCTTAACATAGCCCCGGGCCACTCACGTTGAACTGGCGAAGGCTGTGCCTCAGTTTCGTTAGGGCCGCCTGGCGATCTGCGGCCCATACGACCAGCTTTGCGATCATGGGGTCATAATGCACAGAGACGTCATCTCCTGAAATGGAAACCACAGTGGCCTCTCAAAATTAAAGCTTAGACAAATTGAGACAGGACAAGCAAGACGTTCTGCTTATGTTCACTTCATACTTAGTTCTCACAAACCCCTGAAAGACAATACCATTACCTCTATTCTATTTGTGAGGCAGCTGAGGAATAGAGAGGTCAAAGACTTGTCCATAAAGAACAAAATAAGATAGAAAATAGGAAACAGGGAGATAGATTTTTTTTTTTTGCAAATGGGAGGGAGTGGAGAGGGAGAGGAGAGGAAGGGAAGTAAAAAGAATTCAGATGTGCTATGTGCATGTACCAACTCCCCACGCTGAATGTAATCATTATGTACTGCAAACAGGTACTGATCACAATTACAGAAAAACTTGTCCAAAGTTAATGAGGATGTGGCCACCCAAGAATGCCAGTTGCTAACATAGGGATTCAATGACACGCAGGTTGGCTTTCTCCTACTCTATCTCCTTTCAAACTTTGTTTTCCTTTTAGGAAATCAACTCAAACTCCTTTCACCCTCTCACTTCACCCTCACTTCTGCTCTTAGCATTCTCCTCCCCCTCCGCCTTGTTTCCTCATCAGTGAAATAAAAAATTCCTGTAAAAAAATCCTGAAATAATAAAATCGCATAGAGTCGTCAGGAGGAGTGACAACAAAGTGCCAAGTGCCATGCTTGGCAGAGCTGATAAACAAATGACAGCCATCATTACCATGATTACAGTTCTAGAGAACAAGAATCTGAACCATGGCACAACTGGTGAGAAACAGTTCAAGTTGAAAGACGTGGTGTATCATAAAGAACACTGCTATAAGGACTTTTTCCCAACTTTCACGGTCATTTGACCTCTCTGAACCCCAGGCTCCTCATCTACATTACCAAGCGGCTGGAATACACTCCCATCCATCCACCCATCCATCCATCTACCTGCTTACTCATCGCTACTAAAGCCTCTGCTTGAGCAAGGGCTGCAACTATAACCTGAGAGACGCAGTCCTTCCCTTACGCGTCCTAAACCTGAGGGAGAACTGCGACAAGTCAAGTTTCCACTCGTATAATCAGGCCATGTCCATGGGATGCACCAGCAGTTCCGAGGCTGGGGGCAGGGCTAGGGGAGCTCTGTGGACTCGATTATCCCTCCCAGGGCCAAGAGCGAACGCGGAAGTCCTTCGCAGTATCACATCCCTGCTATTCTCTGAGCGCCTCCAGTAAACCACACTGCAAGCTCTGCTTATGCGCGGGGCCATTCTTTACTGCTGCCATGTCCTTCTGTGTTTCTAACGTGCTCTGCTAATAAGTGAAAACGTTTACCAACTACCAAAGCTTGCTCTCAAAATGCTACCAATTTGGTAAAATCATGAAGTCCTAATGCCTCTTTTTGACTTTCAAGATGCTTCATAATCTGCCCTCAACCTACGACTCCAGCTGCATCTCCAAGTACTCACCTTCCTGACGCCTTTCTTCAGCCGCACATTTTCTTACAGTTCTTTTAACACACGTTTCGCTTTCTCTTTTCTTCACTTTTCACTGGGTTATAACATCTCCCTACTTAAATTCACTCCAGATTTCCTCTTAAAAACTAGACCAGATTAGGTCAGTCTAACAGAACTTTCTGTTCTCAGAATTGCCCCAACCTGTCATGGCATAACTATTCTCTCAACTGAAATGAAGACACCAGTGGGCTCAGAGGATGGATTCTGGAGCCAGGTGCCCAGGTCTAAATCTCAGATCCCCGGATGACCTTGGGTGAGACATTTAGTTCCTCTATGGCCCAATTTCCTCCCCCAGAAAGTGAGGATGACAGTAACGCCTACTCATGGAGTGGTTCTCCTGGTTAAAGGGCTCTATATATCCAGTGCTTGGGAGGCTGAGGCAGGAGGCTAGTGAATTTAAGGCCAGCCTGGGCTATGTAGGGAGACCTTGTTTCAAAAAGAAAAGGGAGCACAGGGATTTAGCTCAGTGGTTCCACCGCCTGCCTCACAAGTGGAAGGTCCCAAGTTCCATCCCCGGTACCCCCCCCCCCCAAACAGAAAAAAAGAAAAAGAAAAAAGAAAAGGTCGGGGGGCAGGTAGGGTGTGTGCCCCTCTCTGGCAATGAAGAAGATCCCACAAACTGCTGCCAACACCCCAGTGGAGAAGCTGAGGTCAACATCAAATTTAAAATATTTCAAGTGGATATAAAACTATTTCCAGAGCCAGCTATGGTGGCACATAACCGTAATCTCGGTACTTGGAAGGCTGAGGCAGGAGAACTGCCTTGAGTCTGAGGCCAGCCTGGACTACATAGTGAGTTCAAGGCCAGTTTGAACTATATAGTGAGACCCTGTCTCAAAAAAAACAAAACAAGGCCGGGGATGCAGCTCAGTGGCACCGAACCTGCCTTGAAAGTGCAAGGTCCTGAGTTCAATCCCCAGCACGAAAAAAAACTCAAAAAACTATTTCCACAATGCAGACAATTAAGGATTTTTGCTGATGATGGCACTGTTAGTAAAACACATCTCCTAATATCTACACAACAAACAAATTTCTACTTGAATATGCATGGACTGTTTTTGACAACTATGCAGTCACAGATATGACTGGTGGAGAGCCATATATTCTTGGACTTTTAGATACTGTAGGAGAAGAGAATGATGACAGAGTAGAGCTGCTGAGCTATCCATAGTGAAATACACCAAATGGATGGAGTTTGCGAGGAAACTTCCCCCCTTAGCTCATCAGCATGGATGTAACCCTCTTGTGTTAGATGTTCCTAGAACCCGGCTGAACACCTGGCCACAGAGGGCTCAGATGGCGGTACTACAGGGTGGATGCTTATGAGGGAACTGGCATTGCAGGCCATTAGGGTGGATTAAGAGCTGCGCAGTGGGCAGGGTGGGGAGGACACTCATCAACAGGGGACCAGTTAGAGGAAGCCCCTGATTTCTAATTTGTGCACAATGCCAGGGATTCAGCTCAGTGGTGCCACCGCCTGCCTTGCATACACAAGGTCCTGAGTTCAATCCCCAGTACCAAAAAAAACCAAAATACAAACTAATCTAATTTGTGCACAAGGAAGCCTATAGCAACCGGATGAGGAGCTCTAGTTTAATAAAAATCACTCAGAGAGTCGCATGAAGACTCCTAGTAATTGCTAATGGGGATTCTAGCACCTTCTTTTTGCTTCAGTTTCCAATTTTAAAAAATGTTTAGGTAATTTTTTCCACTTTCCCAAGATTCTAATTCTTATAGATTCATTAGTGTTGAACCATCATGTCTCAGACTTTATATATGCATTCTTTTCAGATACATTAAACAAAAATCGTTCACAAAAAAGAAAGTCCTATGTAGAAAAATAACATAGAAAAGTACTTGTACATAGGAAACTCTAATGATTAGTTATGACAGTCATTTCATATACTGAACTGTGATAGCTCTTGCACTGTTATTTTAAAAATGGAATATTTTCTTTTACTGTTGCTTAGCTTGTAATGTAGTATCTTGTGTTTCAAAACAATACTAGATTATTTAAAATATGAGTTAGGCTATAACAATAATTATTCCAGAAGGAATAATTGATTAGAAATCAATTAAATCCTTTATTTTAAAACATGCTAGATATTTCCATATGACTCAAGAATAAGACTTTACCCCAAAATAAATAATGCACAAAAGCCTGATGTAATAATGTACACCTATAGCCCCAGCTACTCAAGAGGCTGAAGCAGGAGGATCACTTGACCCCAATAGTTCCAGACCAGCCTGAGTAGTATAATGCTACACTGATCTCAAAGGAAAAAAGTGTATTAGAAGTTTAACAAGAAAAAAAGTTTCATTTTCTTTTGCTCTACCTTGCCGTACTCCAGTTTCAATCCTAGTGGAATGGTCTGCGAGAGGGGTAGAGAGATGTACCAATGGTCCAGCCCCCGGCATAAAGTTATTGTTAGGGTCTTCTGCATAGATTCTGGCCTCAAAGGCATGGCCTTGCAGAGGGATTTCTTCCTGACTCAAAGGAATCTTCTCACCTGCTGCAATCTGGGAATAGAAGAACAGTGCTATAACAGTGCTATAACAGTGCTATAAAAACCCACCTTACAGCACCTTATTTTTTTTTTCTTTTTGGTACTAGGGATTGAACTCGGGTTCTTGCACTTGCAAGGCAGGCGGCAGAACCACTGAGCTAAATCCCCGGCCCTATAGCACCTTGACTTAGTCAATGGCCTTGTTTTTTTTCTAGTAAATGTACATTTGGATTTGGCAACGCAGCTAAATAAAAACTATGACTCTATCCATCCACTTGAGTATTGGGCAAAACAGAAACAGATTAAACAACAGATGCAGCTGAGGAATAGTCTACTTACAATGGGTTTCTAGAGTTTTTAAATGGAGATAGGCAAACTGATGGCTAATTCATAAATATAAAAATCAAGCTAGGCATGGTGGTACATGCCTGTGATCCCAGTATTTGGGAGGTTGAAGCAGGAAGATCACCATAAGTTCAAGGCTAGCCTAGACTACATACAGAGTGAACCCGGTCTCAAAAAACTTAAATAAATAAATAAATAAATCAGTGTTTAATATACTCAAAACCAAAACTTCTTACTGACAAGACATTCTCAGTTTTCATTTAACACAGCAGCACTCAGCTCCCAAGTCAATGTTTTTTATAATAAATTATCAGTTAGGGTCGGGGATTTAGCTCAGTGGTTCCACCTCCTGCCTCACAAGCGAAAGGTCCCAAGTTTGATCCCCAGCACCAAAAAAAAGAAAAAAAATTATCAGTTGATATTTCGGTCTACATCCACAGCCAAGAGAAGATCAGAGGTGGTCTCAGTCAACTTGAGCTGGAATTTGCATCAGCACATGAGGGACAAAGCAAAGAGGAAGGGGATGTGATGGGGTTTCAGTTTTACTGTGATCATGTGTGACTCAGATTATCCAAAAGGTAACTATTATTGTTCATCCCTGCTACAGTTACTACCACATGGCTCTTATGTATCAATACAACTCGCTGCTCTCTTCAACCAGTGTAACGGAAAAGGCCATTGGAGGATATGTGGCCTCTTTCTTTCCTTTTTCATTAGTCCATGTTTGTAGCACATACATGCTTCATTCCTTGTGTGGAGTCAGTACATGTACATGACACATCTTATCCTCCACGGTTGCAAAAGGTCTAGTCTTAGTTGGTGCTTCAGAAAAAAATACCCTCCTTTTCCCTGGATCTTGGAACCAGAACTCTTGCCAGAAGTTTCCAAATACACTGTAGTTTTCCTAACACTTAGTAGCCTATAATGCCTGGTTTTCATTAGTTCTCAAGGCCATTCAGGGCCAGAATTTTTTGGCTCATTAAAAACATTGTGCATCCCCAAAGGGCCAACAAAAACAACAGCATATTATTTTCGACAGAAATCCTGAGAAGACAAAATTATCAAAATAATCAAGACTTTAGCAACACAGCATGGAAAAAATAATTTACATTCAGTACTTATAAAGAACCAAGGATCCTAGCTGGGTGAGGTAATGCATGTCTGTAATCTCAGCACTCTGGGAGGCTGAGGCAGGAGGATCACAAGTTCAAACCCTACCTGGGCAACTTAGTGAGATCCTGTCTCAAAATGAAAAATAAAGAAAAACTAGGGATATAGTTCAATGTGAAAGCCCTAGCTTCGTTCCCTGTTGTGACAAACAAGAAGGAAAGGTTCTACAGGAGTCAAGAACATTGACATGACTTAAAAATCTGGGCCAGCTGGAGATGTAGCTCAGTTGGTAGAATACTTGCCTAGCACGTGCTAAGGTGCTGGGCTTGATCCTCAGCACTACAAAAACAAACAAACAAAAAATTGTTTTTCATATTAAAAAAGGATGAGGTAAAATCAACTGTTTTCAATAAAGAGAACAAAAAGAGACTGAGCTCTTACTAATAATATTTGTCTTTTGTTTTTTCTTTTTGGTACCGGGGATCAAACTCGGGACCTTTCACTTGTGAGGCAGGCGTCTTCTGTGTCTTTAGTTGCACTGTTGTAGCTTCCCTGATGTCCTGAATCGATTCAAAATATTTACCTTTCGTGGTCATTTGACTTTGGGAATGAGCCAGAAGTTGAATGGTGCCAGATCCATTGCATAGGTAGCTGACAACACACCATATGTTTTTATTTGACAGAAATTGTTGTAACAGAAGAGAAGTATGACACATAATGTCATCATGATGAAGGATGAAATTGCCCTTTTCTTAGGCCATTTTCTATGCTCTTTCTTTCTTTCTTTTCTTTTTTGCTTTTTTGAGACAGGGTCTTGCTGTGTAGTTCAGGCTGGCCTTGAACTCACTATGTAGCCCAGGCTGGCCTCAAACTTGAGGCTATCCTCCTGCCTCAGCCTCCTGAGTGTTAGGATTACAGGCATGCAACACCATGTCCAGCTTGCAGACTGTTTCTTAAATAACAAGCCCTTATATTACTCATAGTTTACCGTAATGTTCTTGGGTACAAACTCAGCTCACACAATTCCACCAAGGTCAAAAACCACAATCAGGGCCAGGGATTTAGCTCAGTGGCGCCATGCCTGCCTGGCAAGCACAAGGTCCTGGGTTCGATTCCCGGTACCAAAAAACCCAACCACAATCAACATCACCTTGATGCTGGATCTTGACTGATGCATTTTTTTCACATGAGGGGAACTGGGTGATTTTCACCGAGAGCTCTGGCCCTCTCTGGGTCACAACTATAAACCCATGCTTCACCTCCTGGGATGACATTTCTTAAAAAGCTGGACGCTGATGCGGCAGGATTGTGCAACATCAATGAAATATGTTATCTGTGATCCATGATCCTATGGCACATTTCAAAACACACCTCTCAGCTGGAGCTCACAACCACTGACTGCACTGAACAAGCTGAAACTTGAACACTGTTCCTAAGATTCCACAGGCCACTTCCTGTACCGAAGCTCTCTGCCTTTCTGATGGATGGCACCCAGCACCAGTAATCACCATATTTTTGTTTTAAAGCACACCCATATTCTTTTTGTAAAACACAGTAAACATGTCACAGCAGTGTCAAACGCTTTAACGGTTTCTAAATCAGCACTTTATGGGGATCATTCTGTGAGACCATTCCTTTGGCTCTTCATTCCCAATTCTGCCTTAGGTGGAGTCTGCCTTGCCTTTAAAATCTAATGATGGCACAGCCAGGAATGCTGTGGCCTTAGGTGGACCATATGGCTTTGGCTTTGAGACGGCGTGGTCAGGACAAGTCTAGGTGACAGCGGTTCCCTGCTGGTGTGCCTGGTGCCTGAAGGGAAATGAATGTTAAGTGACAAGTTAGGACTGCGAGTCCCCAAAGTGCCAAAAATGTCACAGCCGCAAATGTCGCTTCACTTTTTAACCTCTCATTTTCCTGTCCTATCTCCAACACCGAGAGTGAATTCTGTCCAAAGTGACACCTCTTTTGGGAGGTCAGAGGCACCCTACTCTGAAGATGGAGTACATGTACCAAGTCCCCACAAGGAGCACATCATTATATATCACAACCATCCACTAATAAAAGATGACCTTTAGGGCCAGGGATTTAGCACAGTGGTTTCGCCACCTACTGTGCAAGCGCAAGGACCTGGTTCAATCCCTGGTACAAAAAAAAAAAAAAAACGACCTTTGATGGAAAAACGTTCTCACCCGAAGCTGCCACTCCACCAAGTCAGTTCCCGTGACCATCTCAGTAACAGGATGTTCTACTTGCAGTCTCGTATTCATTTCCATGAAGTAAAAATTGTGCTGTGAGTCCATAATGAACTCCACCGTGCCTGGGAGATAAAACACAAGTCATGTTTCAATAGTGTAAAATCAATAGAAATCAAGATTTTCCTTGATGTAGCACACTGAGTGTTACAGCTGCTATTGTTGTCATAAACGTTTTGCACTTCATAAAGAAAATATCTCACATTTTACCACAGCAAATGAGTCTAAGTTAAAAATAGGGCTTGGCATGAAATTTAGTGATAGAAAAATGTGTTTGGGGTCGTGAGCAAATGGTAAACCCAAATTCTGAATCAGTCACAGCAGGTGTGGTAGTGAGACTGTGGTAGGGCCACAGCCCGGAGCCCACGACGCCCGGGTGTCTCACACGGTGACCTTCTCACTGTAACTCCATCGAGAAAAGCACATTTCCGCCTCTGCACTGTGGGCGCTTAGAAGTTTCTTCTAAAGACCCTTTGCCAGGGATACATCGAAGAACTGTTTCCCAACTAAGCCATATGGGTCTGTGGCGTGTATTAAAGCCTACAATCTTTCTTCTTTCCCTCCCTGTTCCTTCCTCCCTCCCACCCTTCTTCCTCCTCCTTCCTTTCCTTCCTTTCTCTGGTACTGGGGATTAAGCCTGGGCCCTCACTTCCATTAGGCAAGCGTCCCTTAATTTCATTAAGGCTTAATTTTAGTATATGTGCTGCCGAAGCAAGTACTATTAAGGCTTAATTTTAGACAATGAACTTTAATATTTTAAGTGTAGGTGTCCTGCTTTTGTCAGTTGAATACATTCAGTACGCTTGCAAGAAATATTAAAAGTTCTTCAGAGAGAAGGAAAATGATATAGGCAAGAAACTTGTATTTACATAAAGAAAGGAAGAGCATTAGAAAACGAATAGGTGAAAGTAAAATAAAATGTTAATTCTCTTATTTTGGCTGATTTTCTTTTTTTTTGGTACCAGGGATTGAACTTGGGACCTTGTGCTTTGGAGGCAGGTGGCGGCACCACTGAGCTAAATCCCAGGCCCCTCTTTGACTGATTTAATAGATGAGTTTCTTCAAAATAATAAGAGCAACAATGACTTTATATACGGTTACACATTTATGCTTATGTTTAAATGAAATGCATGAATGCAATAACAGAAGAGACAAGAGGGAGAAATTAGGAATATTTTATTATTATAAGGTATAAGCTACTTGTGAAGTGAAATGTTACACTGCTGCTATTTGAAAGCAGATCTGGGCCAGGGGTGGTAATATACGCCTGTAACACCAGCAACCAAGAGGCTGAGGCAGGATTGCTGGGTTCAAGGCCAGCCTGGGCTACATAGTGAGTTCAAGGTCAGCCTGAACTATACGGAGAGACCCTGCCTCAAAAAACCAAAAGCAAGCAAGCAAGAAAGTGGACTTGGATTAACTGTGGATGCATATTGTAAACTCTAGGGTTACTACTGAGAAAACCAAAAAAAAAAAAGACCTATTAATATGCTAAGGTAAGAAACGAAATATAAAACACTCAAAACCACAGAAGGTGGCAGACATAGAACATACACCTTTTACAAAAATTAATTCAAAATGTATTATATGACTAAATGTAAAATACAAAACCACAAAACTCCTAGAAAAAACTTAGGAGAATACCTAGATAACTGTACAGCAATGACTTCTTACATATAACAGCAGAGACATGAAAGAAAGAAATGATAAGCCGGACTTCATGAAAATTTTTTTAAAAACCAAACTTCTCATCTACAAAAGACATTTTCAAGAGAATGAGGTCACAAGCCTCAGACTGAGACAGGGTTTGTAAAAGGTACATGGGACATAGGACTGCTATTCGAAAGAAGAAAACAAGCTGGGCAGGTGGCCTTTGCTGATAATCCCAGCTTGCTGAGAGGCTGAGGCAGGAAGACCATGAGCTCAGGGCCAGCCTGTGCAACTCAGTAAGACTCTGCCTCAAAAAAAAAAAAAGAAAAGAAACAATCAGGTTTTTTGTTTGTTTGTTTGTGTACGGGGGATCGAACTCGGGTCCTTCCGCTTGCGAGGCAGGTGGCCAGGCGGCGGAACCACTGAGCTAAATCCCTGGCCCACAATCAGGTTTTTTAAATGTGTGCAAGACCCAAAAGGACACTTCATAATGGAGATAAGCTGATGGCAGGTTAGCATCATGCAAAATGTTTAACATCACATAACATCATAGACATACAAACCAAAACAGCAAGAATCCAGCTAGTCAAAATCCCTAACCCTGACAACTCTAAATGAAGGGCCCTGGGGTCACCGGAAGCCTCAATTCACTGCTACACAGTAGGAAGGCGACGGTACAGCTCTCTGGAAGACGCTTTGGCAGTTTCTTCCAAAACTAACCATACTCTTACTATGTGATCTGGCAATCCTGCTCCTTGGGATTTACCCAATTGAACTAAAAGAAAATTATGTCCACATAAAATCTTGCATCTAAGTGTTTAGCAGCTCTATCCATAACTGCAAAACTCGGAGGCAACCAAGATGTCTTTCGGTAGGAAATGGACACATAAGCTCCAGTATACACAGACAATGGAACACTGTTCAGCGACAAAGAGAGAGAAATGAGGAAGCAGTGAGAAGACACTAAGGAAACTGAAATCCAGATGAGTAACAGGGAGAGGCCAACCTGGAAAGGCTGTGTGCTATATGATTACACTATTTATACTTTAGAAGGCAAACTGAGGAGGTACCAGGGAGATTAGTGGTTGCCAGGGCTTAGGGGGCTGAAGAGGAGTAGGCAGAGCACAGAGGATTCTTAGGGTGAGAAACTATTCTATGAGGTACTATAGCCCTGGGTGTAGTGGTGCTCGCCTGTAATCCCAGCACTCGGAGCCTGAGGGAGGAGGATCACCTGAAAGTTGAAGGCAGCCTGGACTACATAGTGAGTTCAAGGCCAGCCTGGACTAGATGATGAGAGCCTGCCAAATAAATAAATGTATATACATACATACATACATACATACATAAAAAACTTGAAAGCCACCAATTTAAAAGCTAGCCAAGACTATATTATTCCCCATGAGGCTCAAGGAGCTGGGGTCTGAGGGCATCAGAGTTCCTTTCCACTCCATGGAAATTCTAGCCTATTGTCCTTTGGGCTTCAGGAAGAGCTCTGGTCATAGCAAAAGGAAACATGTATGTAATTTTTACTTATTAATATAGACATGAGAATTTTAAAAGCTAATCAACAAATAGACAACAGCAACTTATTAAAAGGCAAATATGGTGTGAAAAACAAAAAACAAAAAAAACAAAAGCCAGCCCGGTGTGGCGGCACACATCTGTAATCCCAGCACTTAGGAGGCTGAGGCAGGAGGATCACTTCGAGTTTGAGGACAGCCTGGGCTACATAGAGAGACTCTGTCTCAAAAAACAAACAAACAAATAAGCAAACAAACAAAAAGCTAAACATCTCTCTTACCTTCTGAAACTAAAAACAAATTAGTTTGTCTCTCCTGGTAAAAATAATTTTAACATACCTGCCCCAACATAATTTACAGCTTTAGCAGCTCTGACTGCAGCCTCTCCAAGCTTTCTTCTTACTTCAGGTTTGATACCAGGCTATGACAAATGATTCAAAACACATTCCCATTAATACCTTGCCTTACCAAAAATTTCCATCAAAATACAGTGACATATTTTTATGTATCAAATAACTGCATTAATAATATAAGGATAGCAGGGTGTGGTGGCACATGCCTATAATCCCAGCACTCAGGAGGCTGAAGCAGGACGATGGCAACAGATTTGAGGCCAGCCTGTGCTACACAGTGAGTTCAAGGCAGCCTGAACTACACAGTGACTCTCTCTCTCTCAAAAAAAGGATAAGGATAAAAAGCTAATGTTATACACTTCATCAAGAAATACTGTACTGGGCTGGGGATTTAGCTCAGTAGTTCCGCCGTCTGCCTCGAAAGCACAAGGTCCCGAGTTCGATCCCTAGTACCCCCCCCCAAAAAAGAAATACTGTACTAAGCCAGACATGGTGGGTGGTGGATATCTGTAATCCCAGCACTTAGGAGGCCGAGGCAGGAAGACTGCTAGGCTACATAGTGAGTTCAAGGCCAGTCTGAACTACATAGTGAGAACCTGTCTCAAAACAACAACAAAAAAAACAAAAACAAGAAATCCAGTACTAGCTAGGAACAGTGGTGTGTGACTGTAATCCCAGCAACTTAAGAGACGAGGCAGGAGAGTCACATATTTGAGGACAGCATAGGTAATTTAGTGAAACACCGAAAATAAAAAATAATCAGGGCTAGCGACGTAGCTCAGTGTAAAGCACTTGCCTAGCTTGTGCGGAGTCTTGTGTTCAATCACCAGTATCACAAAAAGAAAAAAAAGTCTTGTCAATGTAGCAAAACTTAATATCTATGATTATAGCTTTTACTCAGCATGACCAAATATCATTATCCTTTATATCTATATAACAACTTTCCTAGCTATCTAAATGACCACATCAATATGAAAACTTTCGGTGGTTCCCATTTTGCTTCAGGATGATAGAGCAATATGAATCAGGTGCCTAATGATTTCTTGGGATACAGGGAAACCTGGAGATTCCAAGTTAATATGTAAGATTAATAAAAAGAAATATATAGAGAAGTAAGCAAAGTTTATTTTACCATTTAAATTGGTGCTCTACAGACTTATTTATGCAATCACTGCTTGAAAATAGGCTATATGGTAATTATAGACATGTACTTCAAACGGCACAATATACTCTGCAACAGAATTACATTTTAAATACAACGCAGGAATAACAAACTGATTAACTAAAAACCTCAGATCCCAGATTTTTTTGGAAATACATAGTGAAAGAAAAAAACCCCAGGTCATCCATGACCCAGAAACAATTAAGAGGAAAAACCAATTAAGAGGAAAACTCAAAAATGAGAGCGACCCTCTTTCCACAACACACCCATTAAGGCAGGAAAATGACTAATACATTTCAGGAGCATCTGAAAGAAACAGTTGTTAACACAAGAATCTTCTCTATAAAAATACATCTCATTAACAGGCCATCGCATTCCATTCCTGTAATTAATTCCAGTTAATTACAATTAGAAATGGCACTGCAACCTCACTACCCAGCTGCTCGCTAGAAGTCAGACGCAGAGCAAATCTGCCCGATTCTACCCACAAGGAACCTGAGCCCCCTTCTCTGTCCTGCTCGGGGTCTTAGCGCTGCCTTAGTTTCGGGCAGCTGTTTTGAGGGCGTGGGAGGCAGGATTCACAGAAGCTGATGTGAAAATGAAAAGGCACAAGGTTGCCAGGACAGAGACGGTGCTTACCGCAGGGGCCTCCTCAATAACCTTCTGATGCCGCCTCTGCACGCTGCAGTCACGTTCGAACAAGTATACTGCGTTGCCATGGTGATCACCAAACACCTGGACTTCTACATGCCTGCTTAAAAGCAAGAATGCAAATGAGTCCTGATATATTTTATCATGAGTGATAAGAATCATTTTCATCAAGCCAGACGCTTTGCTATCCATGCCCAGGGTACCTCCGTTTTTGGTTTTTTTTTTTGTACCGGGGATCGAACTCGGGACCTTGCCCTTGCGAGGCAGGCGGTGGCACCACTGAGCTAAATCCCGGGCCCTCCATTTTTATCTTATTTTTTAAAAGTAAGATCTGATATTTTGATCTCAAAATAGAGGTTATGGATTTAGAACCTATAATCTTGCAAAAACTCAGTGAAAAAGTTTCCATTTGTGTGGTAAACATTAATGCACCTGGGAGGCTGAGGCAGGAACATCACAAGTTCGAGACCAGCATGGGCAACTTAACATCTTACAGAGACCCTCACTCAAAATAAAAAAGGAAAAAGAACTGGGGATGTACCTCAGTGTGAAGGCCCTGGGCTTAACACCCACTAGGACTCAATCAATCAATCAATCAAACAAATTGTAGTCATATTTCATATAATCTCAAAAAGCCAACGAAAACTTTCCATGACTAGCTTTCATTACGCTCTTTCAGTCAGACTGAACTCAGTACCTTGCACTCGCAAGGCAGGTGTAGTGCCACTGAACTAAATCCCCAGCCCTCTTTCAGTCAGATTTTATAAACTATGGAAGACCAAAATAAAATGGCTCAGCCACAAAAGGTTTAAGAAATAAGTGAAGTCGGGCACAGTGGCACACACCTGTAATCTAAGAACTTGGAAGGCTGAGGCAGGAGGATTGCTGTGGTTTTGAGGCCAGCCTGGGCTACACAGTGAGTTCAAGGTCAGCCTGAACTACAGACTGAGACCCTGTCTCAAAACAAAAAAAAAAAAAAAGAGAGAGAGAGAGGCATTCTTCTTAGCAGGTTTACTGCGGTGAAGTTCAACTCACATATTTACCACCATCACACAGAAATGAGTGATTGGCATTTTTTTTGTGTTGCCCAGGCTAGGCTAGAACTTTCGATCCTCCTGCCTCAACCTCCCAGAGGGCTAAGATTACAAGCTTGTGCCCCCATGTCTGGTTTTGTGGATTTCTTTAAAAATAAAACTTTCAAACACAGGAGACATTAAAAAACAAAACCTAGTTAAGTGAAAGAAATCAGACACACAAGCTTAAATATCACATGGCTTCTCTTGCATGAGAAATTCAGAGTGAAAATACAGAACAAAATAAAAGGTAGATAATAGGAAGTAGGGAGATAGGCTGCTCTCAAAGGGGAAGGGGATCAGGATATGGAGGGAGAGAGGAAGGAGGGAACAAAAAACTTGGGATATGTTACGTACACATACCAACTCCATACAAGTAATGTAAACAGCATGTACTGCAAACAGCTAAAAACTAAAAGAAGGGCGGCCGGGGATTTAGCTCAGTTGTTCTGGTGCCTGCCTCGAAAGCGCAAGGTCCCGAGTTCAATCCCCGGTACCGAAAAAAAAAAAACCCAAAAGAAGGGGACAAGAGATGAGGGAGGGAGGGAAAGGCAATGTAAAAGGAATCAAGATGTGCTGCACACATGTTACCAATTTCCCACAAGGAACATAAGCATTGTGTGCTGTAAACATATATGTACTAATAGAGAAAAAATTTTTAAAAGGCTTTGTAAAAGTCTTGTTAATGTACTGTATCAGCACAATGAGCCATTTTCATTCATTTTGGTTTACTTCATGAAGCACCTCATTTAACCATTTGGAAGAATTTGTTGTCTCCATCTATACCACCCTTTCTGAATGTTCCAGTTTTGAATTTTACAACCCAGCTAACACACTCTCTTGACAAAATACTTGCAGCTGATTTCTTTTCTTTTGATTTTTGCCTTGTCGATCTTTCCTCCTCATTTAATTTATCCCAAAGCCATAATTACCAAATACACAAAACTATTTCTATTGTTGTTCTTGGTGGCGTGTGTGTGTGTGTGTGTGTGTGTGTTGTGCAACGCTGGGGATGGAACCCAGGGTCCCATATATGCTGAGCATATGTTTTACCAGCCATATCCTGAGCCCTGTTGCTACCATGAGCTTGATTTAGAATAAGAAAGAGATTTTAGTTTACCATCATTTAATTCTTCTCTAATTCTCACTCTCTCTCTCTCTCTCTCTCTCTCTCTCTCTCTCTCTCTCTCTCTTTCTTTTCTTTTTCTTTTTTGAGACAGGGTCTCAGTATGTAGTTCAGGCTGGCCTTGAACCCATTATGTAGCCCAGGCTGGCCTCGAACTGGCAGCAATCCTCCTGCCTCAGCCTCCCAAGTGCTGAGATTACAGGCATGCATCACTACACCTGGATGATTTCTAGCATTTTAAAAAACTACTTGAGTATGTCCATCTCTCTCCTTACACTATCCACTTATTTTTTGTTTGTTTTTGCATCACCGGGAATCAAACCCAGGGCCTCACACACACTAGCCAAGTACTCTACCACTGCACTGCATCTCTTATGCTACCCAGCTATTCTTTTTTTTTTTTTTTTGGTACGGAGGTCAAACTCAGGACCTTGCGCTTGCAAGAAGCCGGAGGAACCACTGAGCTAAATCCCTGGCTCACTATCCTTCTATTCTTGCATCTTATCTACTTGATCCATTAAAACCATTAACATATTAATCAGTTATTTTGAATTTCCTAACTAATCATTCCTAAATTTGCATCATTCCTAAATAAGCATCATTTCAGGTGCTTATTTTGATTCAGGTGCTTATTTTGTTTCTTCAGGCTGCTTTTTCTGGACCATTAGCATGCCTTAGAAATATATTTGTTAAAAGTAAATTTCAAGATGGCATGCTGGTGCACGCCTATAATCCCAACACTCAGGAAGCTGAGGCAGGAGGATCTCCAGAAGTACAAGGCCAGCCTGGGCTACAAAGTGAGTTCAAGCCTGAACTACATAGTGAGATGCTGTCTCAAGGAAAACAAAATACATTTCTTTACTATGTCATGCTCAGGTACAGTCCCACAGTTTGGGGCCTCTAAAGAAAATACAAAATTACATGTGCAAAATTAGGTAGAGTCTTAGAAGAGGCTCATGCAAAAGAAGAGCCTTAAGCTTCACATTCATTATGTAGGGGCAAATTAAAGGGCCATAAACAAAAACCCAAGGCAAAACACAGGTGACTAACACTGTAAAATCACCACGTGCTTCTCTGTGGCTGACGACTGTAAGATCATCACGTGCTTACTGTGTGCCACAGACTCGAGAAAATGTACCTTATGGAAGAGTTACTCAAGTTCACTTACGCTGACCTCAGTTCCCAAATGAGTTGCTCTTTCACCTGACTGCTAGGTCACAGAGGTTTGTAAAAATTGCCACAAATATCTATGCAACAGAACTGTCTACTTGCTACCTTAAATCACAAACGTGAAAATAGAATTCCAGACATCAACCACACAAGAAAGTTCTGAAATCTTCATGGCATCTGCTCTGCCGGTCCTCAGAGAAGCAGGTTAGTGCAGTGGTTCAGAACATGGACTCTGGAGTCCAGCTGTCTCGGTTCAGTCCCAGCTTTATCACGTCCGAGCTGAGTGAGCTCAGACAAAAAGCATGACCACCCTGCTGCTTTCTATCCTCACTTACAAGATGAGGAAAACAGTACCACTCAAAGGAGCTATTAGAAGTACGGAAAGGGGGCCAAGGATTTAGCCCAGTGGTTTTGCCGCCCGCTGTGCAAGCACAAGGACCCGAGTTTGATTCCCCCGTACCAAAAAAAAAAAAAGAAGTACAGAAACATTACTCAGAATGTGTAAAACCCTTAGAATCTGGCACAGGTTAAGGGCAATGTCAGTATTAGCCTAGAGCATTATTATTCATTGACATGTCACTTATAATTCAATCTGGATAACTATTTCCATTTTCCGAGCACCTCAACTGATGCTCACAGAATTCTATAAACCGTTTAATTTATTACAAGAATTTTTTTCAACCTGGTGTGATGGTGCATTCCTATTATCCCAGCACTCTGGGAGGCTGTAGCAGGAGGATCACAAGTTTGAGCCCAGCCTGGGCAGCTCAGTGACTTAGCAAGTCTGTGTCTCAAAATAAAAAATTAAAAAATTGCTGGGGATGCATCTCAGTGTGAAGGCTCTGGGTTCAATCCCCAGTACTGCAAATAAATGAATAATTTTTTGTGTGTTGAAAACTCTGAATTCTATCAATAAGAAACATTGAATGCAACCATCAAGCTACCAATAAAAAGAATGAGGCAGATCTACAGTTATGGACACGGAAAGATGTGTACACTGTGTCAGCATACAATGTAACATTCACATATAATATCATGTAAAATTCTCTTCACTGCTCTTGTGTATGTGTTTCGTTTCCTGTGGGTATATACATATATCTGGATTCACATAGAAAAGGGCTGGAAGAAGGTATATAATCCTAGAATCAGTGGTTACATCAGGGCTCAGGATTGGGGAATTTAATTGACATGTGCACCACTAGAATTTTGTTTTACCGAATATGCACACATTACTTTTATAGTTCAATATAAAAAAATCTGAGTCAGGGACAAAAAGCTCAGTCCACCTTGGTGTGTCCACAAACTTCTCGATCAGCACAGCATCGTCATTGAAAGACTTCTTAGCTTCTCTCCGCGCTGATTCTAACTGTTCTTGAAATTCCTTTTCGGATCTAGCAATCCTCATCCCCTAAGAGAGAAAAGATGGCTATGATTACAATCCAAACAAAGACAGCTAGTCTCAAATGGCAAGACAGTACCTGCCAAGCTTACTTTGCCTCCTCCACCCCGGACGGCTTTAATCATGATGGGATAACCGATTCTCCCCGCCTGTCGCCTCAGGCACTGGTCGGACTGGTCCTCGCCGTGATAACCGTCCACCACAGGGACCCCTGCAGCAGCCATGATGGACTTAGATGTGCTGTGGAGCAGAAACACCCAAGGCCCCAATGCTACAGATTCTTTCATCCAAGAGAAACACAAATACAGCCCAGTGTGCCAATGCCAATGGAATTCTTTAAAGGGTCACAGAAAGGACCACAAGTCAGATTCCACAAATATCAATTCATACATATATGAAAGTGTTTACCAGTTACTCTTCCTCATTTCATGTGGTCGCCCAAAAATCTAATTAACATATTGAATGGAAACACTAATTACTATTATAACACTAGTTACTATGACACTATTATAATTGAATACTTTCTATAACTCGATGGAGCACCCCACACAGCAGAGCAGTAACTCGTGCCTACAACAATTAAAGGGTAAGATTAAAATGCCGATGACATGTAAGAGAAGCTATTCCATTTGACCTTCATATGGTTATATTTAGAAAAATCAAAACTCATACCTCTTTATACCCATGTCTCTAATTGCCGATGAAGGAGGACCTATAAAAATAATTCCTTCTTGTTTACAAAGTTCAGCAAATTCCATGTTTTCTGAAAGAAAACCGTATCCTGGATGGATAGCCTAGCAGTGGGAAATAAAATGACAAATTTATTAGTTAGTCCTTTTTTTATTATTATTTTTGTTTTGTGAGACAAGGTCTCACTATGTAGCGCAGGCTGGCCTTGAACTTGTGGCAATCCCCCTGCCTCAGCCTCCCGAGTGCTGAGATTACAGGCATGCACCACCATGCCCATTATTAGTTCTTAACAGACAAAGCTCTGTGTTTCTCCAGGAAAGCCCTCCCTATGCTGCAGACAGGCACACGAAGATCCCTATCAAAATCTACTTCCAAAGAGAAGTCTGGAACATTTATACTGAAATTCAGAACCCTTACTTAAACTAGAAGAACTTGTCTTTTTTTTTTTTTTTTTTTCAGTTCTGGGGATTGAACCTAGGGCTTAGTAAGCCCTCCACCACCGAGCTACATATACTGCCAGCACTTGTATTCCTTTTCATTGTGGTAATATAGACATACATTAAAATTTACCATTTAATCACTTCTAAGTATACAACGCAGTGGTATTAAGTACATTCCTAAATGCCATGCAGCCATCACCACCCGTCTCCAAAATGTTTTATCATCTCAAACATAATTCACGTTCCCTCCTTTTCCTGCATCCTTATTTCACACTCGGAATCATCATATTTGTCCCTCTCGAACTAGGTTATTTCACCTAGCATACTGATTTCAAAGTTCATCCACGCTGTAGCGTGTATGAGAATTTCATTCCTATTTAAGGCTAAATAATAGTCCACTGTGTGTACAATCCACATTTTGTTTATTCGTTCATCTGTTGATGAACATGTGGGTTACTTCAACCTTTTAGCCACTGTGAATAATGTTCCTATGAACAATGATGTACAGGTATTTAGGGCCCTTCTTTAAACTGTTAGGTATACACTTGAATTGCTGGATGATATGGCACAGAACAATATATATTCTAATTTAAAGGAATATTGCTATTAGGGAAAAATGTCAAGGAGCACAGGGCTTTGGGGAGGTAAGAAAGTTTGTTTATTCCCTCTGTGCATGACTGGTCTAGAATTGAAATTACAGTATCCAAAAGCTAGAAAGAACACACTAGCACAATACCTCATCTATCCCCTGCCAATGCTATCTTTCCAGAAAAAAAAGCCAACAAAAAGCCATGTATTAAAGTCTAACGGCCAAGGATTTGGCTCAGTGGCACTATGCATACTTGGCAAACACAAGATCCTGAGTTTGATTCCTGGTACCAGGAAAAAAAAGTCTATATATCTTGGGTGTGATGGCACACACCTGTAATTCCAGCACTCAGGAGGCTGAATCAGGAGGATCACCATGAGTTTGAGGCCTGCCTGGGCTACACAGTGAGCTAAAGGCCAGACTGAAACACAGAGCAAGACCTTGTCTCAAAAAAAGAAAAATTAAATGAATAAGGTCCAAAGGGGAAGGGAAAGTGGGGGTAGGGGAAAAGAAAGAAGGGAAAGGAATAAATATGTGATAAGAAAAAAAATGGAGGGTCGGGGATTTAGCTCAGTGGTTCCGCCGCCTGCCACAAAAGCACAAGGTCCCAAGTTTGATCACTGGTACCAAAAAAAAAAAAAAAAAAGGAAACAGTCTTTGTAAATAGGGAGGGAAGAAGAATGGGGAAAAAATAAGTGTCAGGAGCAATGCTACATAATTTGAGGGAAAAATCATTTGATTAGGCCTAGTTCTCCTGCCTGCAGCCCAGCTATGGCATTTCGAGACATGATTTCCATTTTGGCCTCCGGTCACAACTGAGACCTCAATGATCCAGTGATCCTGTGATTCTCCAGGACAAGATTACACCAGAAGGAGACATCCTCAGAGGAACAAAATCTTCATCTACTCAGTTCCACATTGTTCTTGGATTGTTACATCTTATTTACGCAAGATGTACTGAACTCTCTGGAAGTCATTTGTTACATCTGTTTATCCAGATGTACTGAATAAAAGGTGCGGTAAGCTGGGGGCTTTCGACTTTGCCGCCCAGAGCAGCACTGATCAGACCCAAAGCTCAGCTTCTTCTCAAGGTCTCATTTTTCTACCTTTTCTGTATAATAAGTTAATTCACCTTGTGCTGTCGTGGCTTGCAGGAGACTAGGACTGAACTGCAGAGGTTCTACTAACGTCCCCTTTCCCTGTTCTCTATAAATAAGAAACAAAATATATCATGTAAAGGTACATATTCCCAATGATGAATGTCATCATATTGTATACCTAAAATGTAGCAATAAACTTAATGAAAAAATTAAATAAAGTCTATTTATTTTATTTATTTATTTATTTATTTTTTGGTACTGGGGATCAAACTCGGGACCTTGCACTTGCGAGGCAGGCGGTAGAACCACTGAGCTAAATCCCCGGCCCTTTAGTTTATTTATTTAGGTGTAGTGGCACATCCCAATAATTCCAGCACTCAAGAGGCTGAGGCAAAAGGATTGCTGCAAGTTTGAGGCCAGCCTGGACTACACAGTGAGACCCTGTCTTAAAAATCAAATCAAATCAGCTGAGGATTTAGCTCAGTGGTGCCGTCACCTGCCTCAAAAGCACAAGGTCCAGAGTTTGATCCCTGGTACCAAAAAAAAAAAAAAAAAAAATCAAATCAAATCTACATATACTTTAGTGTAGTGGTAGCCAACCTATGGCACACATGCCGCAGAGGACTGTTTTTATTACTGAAAGCTCTAAAAGGTTCGCCATCACTGCTTTCTCGAAAGAGGAATTCCTCAGGCTTTAGCCCAGTCCCTTCTAATTTACTGAGAATGTTAACAAATGTACTTATCTGGCTTTCTAGCTCATTAAAAGAGAAATCTTCGGGCCGAGGATTTAGCTCAGTGGTTCTGCTGCCTGCTTCGTAAACCTCAAGGTCCTGAGTTCAATCCCCAGTACCAAAAAAAAAAAAATCAATTGATTAAAAAATGAATTGATCATATATATATATTTGAGTTTGTTTTCAGACTTTTAGTCTATTTTACTGACTTATACATTTTTTGTGTGTTTTTTTTTGTACTGAGGATCGAACTCTTGACCTTGCACTTACGAGGCAGGTGGCAGCACCACTGAGCTAAATCCCCAACCCATACATTTATTCTTATGTCAATACCATACTATCTAGATTCCTGTAGTTTTTAATGACCATTGAAACACAGTCTAAGCCCAATAAAAGTCTTTTCCATACTGTTTTGGCTATCTACTAGACTCTTTGGTTATCTTGGGATCAACTTATCAATTTCTACAAAAACGCCTAGTAGCATTTTGATAAAGGGGTGGGGCTCAATGGTAGAATACCAGCCTAGCATATGTGAGGCCTTGGGTTTGATTCCCAGCACAAGAAAGAAAGAGAGACACAAAGAGACACAAAGAGAGAAAGACAGAGAGAGAAACACAGATTAATTAGGAAAGAATTGCCATATTACTGTCCTGATCTATTTTTACTAATTTTATTTATATTTGATTCTCAGTGAAGCCACAATGTAATTGTTACTTTAATTTCCACAATGTTCATTGCTAATAAAGAACAGGAAACCCGGCCTGGTGGTATACACCTGTAATCCCAGCTACTCAGGAGGCTGACACAGAGGATCACAATTTTAAGGTCAGTCTGGGCAACTTACTAAGACACTGTCTCAAAACAAACAAGATCTGGAGCCAGGTATGGTGGTGCATGCCTGTGATCCCAGCACTCAGGAGACTGAGGCAGGAGGAGTGCCAGGAGTTCAAGGCTGGCTTAGGCTACACAGTGAGTCCGAGGCCAGCGTGGGCTACATAGCAAGACCCTGTCTCAAAAAAACCAAAAAAACAACAACAGCAAAAAGAAAGATCTGGGGATGTAACTCAGTGGTAGAGTGCTTACCTAGCATGCTTGAGGCCCTGGGTTCAATCCACACTACTATATTTTAAAAGAGAAAAGTTGGGGCCAGGGATTTAGCTCAGTGGCACAGTGCCTGCTTCGCAAGTGCAAGGTCCCGAGTTTGATCCCAGGTACAAAAAGAAAAAAGAAAAGAAAAGAAAAGCCAAAAACACATGCACAAAAACCCAGATGAAACATAAATATTGACAAATAGAATAGGACTATATCAGAAACTCTTTTAAAAGCTAAACGGAACAGTTTGAACCTCATCTTGTAACCACTGAAGATTTGCTAACTAAAGGATAGGACAAGAAAGGTGTTAGGTTATTACAAGAAGGACAGGGACCGCAGCTAATAATGAAATGTATTTCAGAAATGTTCACTTAGCCAGGTGTGGTCATCCACACCTGCAATCCCAGCCCTCAGAGAGGCTGAGATGAAAGGATTGCAATTTAGCCAGAATCTGTTTCAAAACAAGAATTTTTAAAAGGCTGGCTTTTTAAAGGCCCTGGGTTCAATCCTCAGCCCAGAAAAAAAGAAGAGTTCATCCAGTAATATAGAAAACTGAAGTAAGAGATTTAAAAGAAAAATCAGCTGAGACTCAAAAATCCAAGTAAGAGATCCTAAGATGTGGCTGTGTGATAAAAAAAAAAACTTTCTGAAGATATTTCAGTGAAAGATTCAACACCAACTGGTTCCTGTCTCATTCTGAAGGATGAAAGATATAATAACATCAAAGTTTCAAGTCTGGGATGTCAGCAAACCAGGTTGTGGGGGGGCCGCTAAAATGAGACCAGAGGGCCAGGGATTTAGCTCAGTGGTTCCGCTGCCTGCCTTGAAAGCACAAGGACCTGAGTTCGATCCCTGGTACAAAAAAAAAAAAAAAGAAAGAAAAGAAACTAGAAATCAAAGGGGAAAATATTTCTCTTTTGATTGTATTTTACTTTATAATTGAGAACACCATCTAATTCTCCCAAAAGCATTTGATGTTCCTTGTATTAGGTTTTAAAGGTAGAAGAGATGAATTTTTAGTTTTAATTTCTAATTTAAACTTTGCCTCCTCTTATTTCCCAAGAGATATAAACTACACAGGGACGCTGGAAATGGTGATGCGCACTTGTAATGCCAGCACTCGGGAGGCTGAGGCAGGAGGATTGCTGCAAGTTCAAGGCCACCCTGCAGTACCCAGTGAGTTCAAGAACAGTCTGAACTACATAGTGAGACCCTTTGTCAAGAAAGAAAAGAAGAAAGAAAGATGGGCTGGGGATTTATTTAGTTCAGTGGTGCTGCACCTGCCTTGGAAGCTCAAGGTCCTGAGTTTGATCCCCAGTATGGGAAGAAAGGAAAGGAAGAGAGAGAGAGAGAGAGATTCAGTGGTGCTGCACCTGCCTTGGAAGCTCAAGGTCCTGAGTTTGATCCCCAGTATGGGAAGAAAGGAAAGGAAGAGAGAGAGAGAGAGA